CAAAAATTTGATTAAAATTTTAGCTTGATGTTCAGCGTTCAACCTTTTTTGAAACTCAATGCAAATGCAACCATTTAACAGCTTTTGGTGGGTTTTTTGTGGCCCCTAATCCCATACCAACACCTTCGTTAGCAATGTTAAAACATGGTTATGTTCTTCTTGTTACAGTTGCAGTTATTATTTTGCTTTGGATACTTGGATTAATAATTACCAGGAAGATGGATAAAAAAGACATTTCAAAGGTTTAATTTTTATTTTGAAATTTTCTATTTAACAAAGATGTTTACAATTTAAATTATCTAGAAGGAAAAACAATTGACAGAAGCATTCACAAAAGAGGTAAACTCACTTAACTGAAGTGAACTTAAGGGGTAGATTAAGTTAACTCAAGTGGTAGGCTGGGTAAACTCAAATGTCATGCTGGGTTAACTCGAATGGTAGGTTGGGTTAATTCAAAACCTAATGAACTTATGCATCCTTAAAAAAGTTAACTTCGACAAATACACAAAATAGGGTTGATATTTCAAAATTTGAGAAAATGGAAAACTGTGGTTGCTTTTTTTTTCTACAATCTTAAAGAGGTACAAAACTAAAGTTTTTCCCTTCCTTAGTGTTTTTGTCCAGTGTTGCATATAATTTTTTAATCATTGAGAATTTACCAAATTTTATTTTATTTTGATGGGTTAAATTATTTTTAAGAAAATTTTTGTTTTATCTTCCAAACAAACACATTTAATAGAATCTTTCAGCAAGCCATTATTTTACAATAGTTATTTATATTCTTGTTCCAGGCCTTATTCAGTTAATACTTCTTTACTCACAGTCATTGGGTTACACTAAGCTTGTTAACTAGCTAAATGAAATGCTTGTATGAACCATAGCTAAGAAATCACGTGTAAATACTTCCTGTTTAGAGAAAGTCATGTTAAGTTACTCCACACAGTTTTTCTCATTTAAGAAACTTTCTAAAACTAAATAAGTATTTTGTGTATTTTCTCTAAGGCATTATTTTTTTTTGTTCAACATGCTGCCAATGTAAAAACAAATCAAACTTAGCATATCATCTCAATCAGTTAAAATTTTTATTAAAACATATTTAAGATGTAATAGTAAACATTTTAGACATGTTGACAAATTTATGACACATTTTTTAAAATAAAATTAATTGTCCTCAGAATTAAAAACTAAGTTTAAATTTGAATTTTAAAAAGTTTAACTTCATAAAAAATAAAAAATAAATGTTTAATATGTATACAAGTTTCAGCTGAATTAAAAAAAAAAATTGAAAAAAAAATTAATAATCCCATGTTCTTGAATAAATTATTCTCAGACAGTGATAAATCATTTAATATAATAATATATAAATAATGAAAATGTTAATATTTAATATTATATTATAATATATAAATAATAAAAAAAAAGTATTGTTATGTTAACAAATAATACTCATAAACTCTTTTTTGTTGTTGAAATAAAACAAAGTTATAATTACGTAAAACACAATATTAGCACCATAATTTACATAACCATAAATTTATAAATAATGTCATTCAAACTTTATTTCAGTCTTAATTATTCATTTATTTAATAGCCTACTTAAGATAAATGTAAGTTTTCAAAACTTTTTTGTTTTTATCAGTACATTATTTTATAAAGTGGCTTGTATTTTACCTGATTTTTGAATTTTTTTGAAGTAAAATTCAGGCAGTTTAAATGTTCTCAGTTAACTCCCCTATAAATATTGGGGCATTAGTTGAGAATATTTTAAAATCTTTATGAATATATGTGATCAATTTCTAAAAATGCATAAATAATTGAGCAACTTCTTCAAAAACATGTTTTTTCTCAACAAGATGCTAAAGTGGAAAAACATGTTACCGATCTATGAACTTTTATTTAATTTTTTGATTTTAATAATTAAACAGAACTTGAACAGTAAATAGTAGTAGTAGAACTAGCAAGAAATAAAAAAATTCTTGTAGATGAATCAAGCATTAATAAAATCAAAAATTGCTGTTAAGTCAAGCAATGGTAGAATCAGTAATTGTTGTTGAGTCAAGTAATGGTAAAATCAATAACTGTTGATGAGTCAAGCAATGGTAAAATCAATAACTGTTGATGAGTTAAACAATGGTAAAACCAATAACTGTTGATGAGTCAAGCAATGGTAAAATCAATAAATATTGATGAGTCAAGCAATGGTAAAATCAATAACTGTTAATGAGTTAAGCAATGTTAAAATCAATAACTGTTGATGAGTCAAGCAATGGTAAAATCAATAACTGTTGATGAGTCAAGCAATGGTAAAATCAATAACTGTTGATGAGTCAAGCAATGGTAAAATCAATAACTGTTGATGAGTCAAGCAATGGTAAAATCAATAACTGTTGATGAGTCAAGCAATGGTAAAATCAATAACTGTTGATGAGTCAAGCAATGGTAAAATCAATAACTGTTGATGAGTTAAGCAATGGTAAAATCAATAACTGTTGATTCAAGC